TGCAGCCGCCGGCAGATCGCGCTCCACGTCACGTCAGCTGCAGACAGACCTAAGCCCAAGTCGAACGCACCCATCTCTTCTTTAAGGCAGGATGGGCAAAATTACAACGTCGTCGGTGATTGGCTGTTGTGCTGGCGTTCAGTAAACCTCTGCTCGATAAGCCATCGAGCTGTCTGTCTCAGCGCATTCTCTAAAACGGAGCATACTTGTTTGATCGAGTTTTATAGTCTGTGTGTATCATCGTGATCGTCCTCATTTTCTATCGATAAAAAATCAGGTTCGGTTTATCGCCCAGCACTACCTAACCTACATTTGCGTAAAATCTTCCGTACGGCTACATTCTCGGCAATGCTACCCGGGGCTGAGGTGGGGAGGAAATATTTGAAAGTCTGCTTAAACCTGAAACACTTCCATACAGCTGGACTGTAACCAGTGGAAAATTAATCATTTTGGGCAAACAAATGCGAGGGGAGAGCGGACGGGAAGGAGCGTGGCGCAGAGCAGCAAATCCCCGGAAGGCCAAACACGGAAAATTCAACATTCCTCCGGCTCTTTTCATTCCAAAAATTCTGACCTCACAAGGAAAAGACCTACTGACACCCTTTCCCCTCACCCATCCTTGCTCAGACCCACTCTTGTGGGGGAGGGAGGAATCCTTTTTCCAAATTTCCTCCCCCGGCCACACAGGTGGCACAGGTGGTCCTGTCAGGATCATTACTCAAACAGCCCCCGGCTCCCCCCAGCCCAACCTGCACACAAAAGCAGCCAGTCAGCCGCTCAGCAGGCAGGGGAGGGCCGTGCCGCCATCATTTCATTGGCACAGCCCCCTCCTCATGCTAACTTATAAACGCAGATTTAATATTGACCCATTTGGAAACACGTGTTCGCTCCGCGGCTGTCTGTGGCCATAAGTAATCAACGCTAACATAGACACGCATTAGCGCGATGCTAAAACACCTCTACAGAAACACCGGAAAGTGGCGTGGGCCAGTAACCCAGTACTCATTCGAGTACTCACACAGAAGGGCACACCAGTAGGCAATTACACTGGTACTCATTACTATTACTTATGTCTCGCCCCTCCGATATATTTAATGAGATCTTACAAGCAGCAACGCCAAGTAACACTTTGTCATGATCTGGACTTCGGTGATGGCTGTATTAACAAGTTAATATTTATACCCTCCAGTAGGGAGCAAAAATGTGGATTGTCTGGCAGGGAGCGAAAAACGTGGACAGACTGGGGTGCCCGAGGACCAGGACGAAAAACACTGTTCTACACCTCCAGGCGTCTCTGGTCTCCAGGCCCCTCGGTTAAATGTCTTGGATTCCCCCCCCCCCCCCCAAAAAAAAAAAAAAAAAAAAACCTACCAAGCTGCCTTCCAGCTGGACAGAGCAATGAATATAACCACAGGACACAACGAACTCAAGCAAAAGACACAGACACACGCGCACACACACACACACACACACACACGCGCGCATGAAGAACTGCTCAGTTCTGAGTTGATTTCAAAAATAATCACACCCCTAATTACCTTCCCAGAAACTTACAAAAACTGATCACTTAGCAAAGGCACCAAGTACGATTTTATTCAATTATGCGACAAATAATGTATTTAAAGGTATTAATTGCAAAACATGAGTCTCTGTGCTGGATGACACCCGATCCAACAGCAAGAAAATCTGCAAGGGAAGGTGGAAAAAGGAGAAAATTATTTCAAATTTAACAGAGAACTGAAGAAGCTGAAGAACATGCCGGCTCCACCAGAGCCACGTTCATTTGAGAAAAACTCTCACGTTTGGCGCAAGTTCACTGTGGAGCATTTAGGCCGTTATGGCAGATGTAGGGTTGCAAAGGGATGGAAAATTTCCAGAAACTTTGCAGAATATTTCCATTCCATGGGAAGATAAGCTGGGAAATTTTGGAAATACTACAAATTGGAAACTTTCCATGGGAATATATGGGAATTAACAGGAAAATTTCCAGAATTTTGCAACCTTAGGCAGATGCAATCTCGACAGCTGTCTAAAAACACGTCACGGGAGTTAGTTTCACATCTAATGGAGAGGAAACACCATTTCCCAGAAGATAACATGCAGAGCCTTCAAATGAAAACAGGCAAGGAACGGCTGTAAGGTAACATGAGGCATCGCCACCCCAGATAGTTCAGGTCCAGAAAGTAAAAATCCAGACCAAGATTTTGTTTTGACCAAGCACTTGAGCATAAAGAGTCACAGTCACAGAGTACTAAACTGGTTGGTTGAAACAAAATCATGGTCTGGATTTTTATTTTCTGGACCAGAACTATCCAAAACTCAGGGAAGTAAGATGAAATGGCCGATAAAGGTCCGACTGTCGGTGCCTTGAAGTGTTGCTCATCTGCAGGCCGAACCAGGGCCCCCCAATGGCAGGCGATGACCCACTTCGCCGCAACACTATACTTGACGTGATCGAAAGAGCCGGCATGCTCAGCGCCTGGCCTGCTATTCAGCAGTTCCCCCCGCCAATCGTCACAGAAACCGCAAGGTCCGGTTTCAAGGGCAGCGACATCCTGCAGGTTTATCCCCAAAATACAAAACAAAATACACAGAACTTCACTTTCCAAACATTCCCACAAACATACACACACAGAGAAATGAGTTCAGCACACATTCAGGAAGTATCAGCAGTAAACATGCATAAATCCCTGTGTTCACGGCAGCACAGTCATTTATTTACGACTGCATCAGAAATGAGAGGCGTGCTGAGGTTTGAGGAAACCCAGAGAGGGAGAGAGTCATGGCAAAAAGGCCGGCCATCGGGGGAGAGCCAGCACCAGGGTCAATAATGACCCCCTCAGACAGAACAGGTAGCATAATCAGCATTATAAAAGGGTGAGTACAGATATAAAAGTTGACTATTAAACTGACAGGACAGAACAGCGTAACGTGTAGGTGTGAATAAAGGCTGCTAACTTTTCCATTACACCACACCCTCTGATGTGCTCAATAGAGAGAGTAAGAGCAAGATTTCACAAATCAATCATTCTGCCTAAAATGCAGCAGCTGATCATTTCCAGAAAGGTGCACAATCACTCACATGACATTAAACTCAACAAGACACCGGCGGCCAAGTTCAAACTGGAATTATAAGCGTACTCTCTCCCGCTGGTTATACTGCGTGCACATTTCTGACCTGGGGGTGCTGTGTATTTAAAGACCTGCAACAAAAACACTGCGCACACCCCTCGAGCACAGCCACGAACCTTAAGGCTACATTTCAATGACACTGTCTGAAAGGGCTTCCTGACACTGGGCGGGACCTAAAATCCAAGCATGCTCATAGGACGAGTCATTCAAATTCCAGGTCCTGGTCCCTCCCCCCGTAAGCCGCACTCAGGGTCAGCCAGCCGGCCGGCCTCATTAACTACAGCAGGCCAGTGTAGCAGCCCCTGTCTCCAGAGTGTGGCACTGCGAGGTTGGACCCAGTCACGGGACAGCAGGGGACAAAGGCGTTCCTGTACTGCAGGCCGGCAGGTGCCAGTGGAAACCCAATTCGCAGTGCGTGGCACGGCCTCCGGGGCGGCACACAAAATAGTGGTATTGTTCGAGGCCGAGCGGCCCTCACTTTGTAGCGTGGAAGCACATCTGCTGTGCGAGGCGGAGCAAAGAGCGCGGACGGAAGTGCACACTAAGCGGGAGACCCCCCCCCCAGCAGAGAACCTGTAACCAGGCAGAATGGGGACAGCCCCCAAACATAAGACCTGTGACTGGGCCCAGAACCATGCAGAGAGCGCCCCCCCCCCCCCCAAAAAAAGGACCTATTACCCCCCCAATCCGGGGACCCATAACCTGCAGTGCTAGAAAACATAATCCACAGACATTAAAGGGAATTAAAGGACAAAAGCAGAGCCTGTCAGGCACATGGGCTGAGCACAACCCTCAGACATTAAAGGGTTAAAGACTGTCACCAGCGGTGCTGAAATGCACAGGTTTACCCAAGCTGAAGCACAGGGGCCTCCGCTAAATAAGGGCCTCAACTAACCTTGTTTAGTAAAATTTTATGACAACTTTTCCCGTCACCAATCAAATAGTAAGGGAGTTCAGACACTTCAACTAGGCAAGGGGAGCCTGACCACACTGATGTGAAATCTCCTTTGCGGCTGTGCAGATATATTATTATTAAGTAAAAACGTTCTGCTTAAATAATGCGACTGACGTGTAAATTTCCAACTACCAAGATTTAAATTTAAATTGTTCGTCTAGTTTTAAAGAACTACAACCAACAAACGGCCACTCTGCATGTCGGGAGTTACGTTTCAATCCAGTCTGTTTACGTCTGCGCTGCACAAACCTCATAAACTGGAGGCATTCGATAAAGTCAGAGCGCAGCCTGTAAGGGAAACAGCAGAAGCAGGATGAAAGGTGAGAGGCAAGTCGGATCCCTGACCTCACAACTCGCAGCCCATTAGATGTAATTACATCTTGGGGCGATTCTCTGGGGCATACAGACCCCCCCCATCACAGCACGGCCCTGGACAGGACACCACCTGGGCCCCCCCAGCAGCCTGCAGCTGACTCCCAGGTGTGAGAGGTGAAGCACCATGCAGGGATCACACGCCGGCCACAAGCTAACTGCTCCACTCACAGCCATTAACGATCACTATCCGGTCCAGAGGCAAGTGCACCAAGTCCAAGGAAAAAAAACTGTCTACACACAGAGCACTTTTCATGCACTGTCTCTCTCTCTCTCTCTCTCTC